GTGCCTGCCTTGCTGGTGGTAAAGATGTTGTGGGAGGAACTTGGACTGGTGTGTTGTGAGAAGCAATCTTTGTGGGCATCAGGTCCTCTGGGGGAAGGCGGGCAAGTTGGGCCAGGGTGGGGGTGAAGGCTGGCCCAGTGTTGCCTTCCACGGTACTGACTGCACTGGAGCCTGTCCCTGTTTGTCCCTGTCCCCCCCATATCACGTAGGCTGAACTCACATTGCTCTGTTCCCAGGGGCAACTGTCTATCATCGCAGCTCAGTCTGTGTATGATGCGTCCATGCCGAGACCCAGCAGGGAGATGGTCCGAGGGGAGATCCTGCCCAGTGCCTGGATCCTGCAGCCCCTCACTGTGGAAGGGAAGGAGATCACCAGAGTCATCTACTTGGCCCAGGTGATCCACCTTGTGCAGCTGGCCTCACAGCATGCCTTGATTTGACCCCAGCCCCATGGGAGCTTTCTGTATAGCTGTTCAACATCCTTCAGTACCCAGGACCTGTGGCCTGAGAGCTGGAGACTCAAGGGTTTCTTGGGTCACGAATCAGTGGGGAATCAGGAAGGAATGAGGCAGAGTTGACCAACCTTCTACTGAAGCTGCTCTTACCAGAGCCTGGCGGCCCACATCCTCTGGCTGTTCCCAGGGTCCTCAGGAGATAGATGAGTCATTGTGAGCAGAGCAGCACCCTCAGTTCCCTGACTTGACCTTTTGTCATTGGGAAGTGAAGCTTTTGCCTAGATCTGAACAGCAGAGCACAGGGCTGTAGACAGTTCAGTTCAGAGCCTCTCCAATCACAGCAGCCTGGGGTGGCTGCTTATGGCTGAAGTGTGCCCCGGTGCACTCTCCTGGGTCTGTCTGCACCTTTAACTCTTCCCTCTCTGGTTTATTTCAGGTAGAACTTGGTGCTCCAGGATTCCCCCCTCAGCTCCTAAGCTCCTTCATCAAACAGCAGCCGCTGGTTATAGCCAGACTGGCTTCCTTCCTTGGTAGTTAGCATCTCACAGTCAAGATGGTGCTCCAGGATGCCCCAGAGATGCTGGGGCAGCTCTTGTTACTCTGTATCCTGATGTTAAGAAGAGCTGAGGCTACCTGCTGTGGCCGACTTGGCAGACAACACTCAGCCCTGAGTTGCCAGCGAAACCTAGTCAGTACTTGGTCACAGCTGGCACCCCTGCAGAGCGAGGGGGCCTGAGCTCCTGGCTGTCCAGAGTGAATGAAGCTCGACTCACCTTTTCGGATTTCTCACCTTTTTTTCCCGTCTCTGGGACCCTATGGCATACAGGCCACTCAAGGATCAGGACTGGACACAGCCAGCAGAGCTGGGAGCCTGCAGTGCTCTGACATGGTGCTTACTTAGTTCGGCGCAGCCCTGGGGCTGGTAGGGAAGCAGGAGCCATTGGCCAAGACTCTGCTCAGAATGTGCTCCAGCAGTCAGCTCCACTGTGGGATGGGGTGTTAGGAAACAGAAAACGGTTTAAAACAACAGCTGCACAAACCAGAACACTGATTTAGAATTGTTTCTCTTCCCTGGATTTTTACAAAATGCTTTATTATTAATTTTTGCTTTGCCCCCCCTCTTCCTTTCCCTCACAGGAGAAGACAATTGTTTGGGTCTTGGCCTCAGTAAGGAGTATAGAGTAATGCTCTGTCATGGAGCCACCACTCCAGAGCTCAGAAGAATGGGAAGACCACTGTGAAAACTGGCTGGATAGATTTGGGGTTAGGGTGGGGGCCTAGCTCTTTGAGGAGGACTTGGGGTGGTGCGTGGGCATCTCTCATTTCAGAGATGAAAAACTGTCTTTTGAAGACGAGAGGGAAGATAATGGCCCTCCTGGAAGGAGGTAAGTGATTTGTTAGGAGGAAGCACAATTCTATTCCTTACCTCACTCAAAGACTTGGTCCCAGCCTTGAGCACTCCACGCACTGCTGTAGCCCCTTCTATTCTAGGATGGGATGGAGAATGGGTTGTTTTCTTGTAACTTAGCCTGGCTGAACTCGAGCTTTGAATATTCTGTATGGTTACCTGAAGTGTAGGGGTCAGAGAGATTCTCAGCTTCAGTTCTGGTGCCCAGAGTCTTTGGTGGAAGAGGGCGACCATATGGGGATTGAGAAGATCTGGTAAAAGGTAAATTTCTGTATAGTACAGAAGAGGTTTATTTTTCTAAAAGTATCTGCAGGATTTTGTTTTTCTCTTACCTCAGATTAAGTTATTTATATATTATTGAAGGTGTTTTTTTTTTTTTTATTGCTTTCAAACTTATTTTTCTGGTTAATTTTTTTGGTTACACTTGATATATTTAACACCCTATTTATGTACTCCCATCTCTCTTCACATGAATCTCTAAGGCCACTGATTGAAAAGTGCAGAACACTTGCAAATTAAAAGTCCAATGTGTACTTTTATTCAGTGAAGACTATCCTGGGATAGCCTACGTGTGTCGTTTGGGCTCAGAATTCAGCCTGGTGATTATGATGGCAGTAACTACTCATGGCCCAGTTTCAAGCTATATAGTTTACACATGTATATTGAGTGTTTCCCATGAGCTCAGCACTGCTTTGCACATAAACGAAACCAGGTAAGTTGCCTAGCTACGGCCAGCTGTAGTCCAGACATGAACATGAGGGAGGATTCCAGAACAGATTCCACTGCCACACTCAACGGTGACCATACACCCCTGGAAGGAAGCTCTTTAACAGGTATGCATCTCTAGGGCTTCTGAGGTAGAGCCAGCAATGGGAATCAGAACGGTGGTTAGCCTGGAGGTGACTGTATCCCCTAAACTAGAGAAGCCACAAGCCAGGCATGTGAGTCAGCAAATCTAAAGAACATTAACTGAGGCTGATCTTATAGTAAAATGCAGAGGTGTTAAGGATAATCCAGGGACCCGGCTCCAAATGATCAAGGAGAAGTCAGGTTTTGGTTAAGACAGGTGGTTCTCAGACTTTATTGTGCTTCTGAATCACCTGAAGGACTTGTTACACCCCAGGCTGGCCCCCACCCTAGAGTTTGATTTAGAAGAGTGGAGAGGGGCCCACATATTTGTATTTCTAGGAAGTTGCAGGTGATGAGGCTGCTGGTGTGGGGACCACACTTTGAAAACCACTGATTCTGGTAGAGAGCAGGTATATGGAAAACAACGTAAATACTAATGAGTTCACTAGTTAGCTGCTTGTCTCTGTAATTCCTTTCTTATCTTACTGCCTGCCTAAAGTAAACCCTTAAGGTTCACACGGGCCAGCGTTGTTTCCTGAATTGGGCCTGTGCGGTTTAACTAAGTGGGCTTTAAACTCAGCATCCTTGGGTTTCAGGCTTTCCTCCATGCTTGCCTGCCTGTCCCACCTCACATGGAGCTGGGTGTCTGACGTAGCTGGGTGTCTGCTTACCTCGGGGCTCAGCTTCCTGGGGCAGTGCTTTCATTCAGCCACACCTGATGGGTGCAGAAAGATAAAATATTTCTTAAAACTGTTTTGGTTCCCAAGCATTCAGAACTTCCAGAATTTGCTGTGGTATAAATTGGATTTAAAGGACAAATTAAGAGATGAAGAAAAAAAGGTTCAGATGCAAAAACTTATTGATTAGGATGAGCTGAGGGGAAGGGATGATCACTGCCTGACTGCTCAGAAGCATGATTACAAAGTGGTGAGACACACCCCCATTTTTAACTTTCTGTGCTGATGGGACCTACTGTAAGGGCTCCCAACTGGCTTTACTAAAGTCATACAGCAGACCTCTTTAGACCCAGAGCATCTTACCCTTCCTTGGGTTGGAGACCTCTTTGACAGCTGGGAACTTTTCTCCTAAGAAATACACACATATGCACAGACAGATTTTGCAAGCTACTTCAAGAGGGTTCACTGAGTACCCTCGCCTTCCCCTGACAGAGACTGAATCTCTGCGCACACTGCCAAAGTAGAAAAACCATGAATTTTAGAAGAGTGAATTTAATGCACATTATCAAGGTAGTGCTTGCTTAGTCACAATTGGTGCATCATTTATAGACACGTAGAATGCTTTTGTTCTGAGCCAAATCAAACACCCCCAGCCCCCCAAGAAGCAAGCATCACAAGTGGGCAGTATCTGGTGAGTAGAAACTTCACACATCCTAAACCTTTAAAGGAGTTGAACGAAGTCAATACTGTTGGCAGTGGCTTAACAAGGGCCCCAGGCTGTCTGGCCTGCAGGGTCTCACATGATGGAATACTTAGGCATTGCTAAGTGGCCAACCAATGGGACAGCTCTACCCTGTCAATGCCCACCTCCAAGCCCACCTGAGACTTTGTGGCCTTCTACAGGGACGAGTAAGGTGAAAATAACTAGACATGAAGCCCTTGGTAAAGAAAACAGTTTATTTTAAAAACCTCTAATGTTCTGCCCGTGCTTGGCCCCTGGATGGAGCTAGAGTCAAAAGTTACTACCTGCACGGGACTGAAGGCAGGTGGGGTGCAAGGTAAAAGGCAGGTTTCTGTCGGGCGAGCCCCACATTTGTTGTATGTTTTTAAGGAGATGGCAGTCCAGCTCCTGGTGGTAAGAAAATGTAGACTCCCAAGATTCATGTTTAACTTTACTCACAAGTTAAGCAGAAGTCACTTCCCTCTGTCATGATTTCCCAAACCACAAAGCTCTAAGAGATGCCGGGACAGCAGCAAGTGGGGCTTGAATCTTGGGCCGACAAAAGCCCCCACACATCATTTCATAATAAATGCCAACTCTTCTTCTCCAGGACTGGAGTCTCTAGGTTCTTCCACCATAATCCTGAATCGGGTGACCCCCTCCTGCTTCCTTTAGGACTTGGGATGGTGAGCCTGCGGTCACGGGGATGCCAGGCTGCCACTCTCTTCCTTCACACGTGAGCAGGAAGCCTGATGACAGACTGAGCTACTTCCACACCAGCAAGGGGCAGGGTGGGCACTTGGGGTGGCTCTGGGGCCTCCTCCTGAGGCACAGTCAGGCTGGGTTCCAGCGCTCTGGCGAGATGCCCAAGGTAGGGCCGCTTCCCAGCCCTAGCTCTGGGCCAGCACAGTCCCCCGGTTTGGCTGCACCAGCTCACAAGCTCTTAGCTGAGGTTGTGGCACATGAGGTTCAGCTAGAAACAGGTTGAACAGTGTTGCTAATTCTTCAGAAAAATCCTGGAATAAGCAGAAAGATGACAGAAAAGGCAGACACACAGTTCTAGATTGTTCACCCACATAATTCTAGATTTTTTACTAAAAATCAATCCCAAATATCAAGCCCTAGCTAACCAGACAACCTATTTTATTTTTTCCCAACTGCCTTCTACCTGGAAATGGACTTGGAAACCTTGTCCCATTAGTACTCTAGGATGCTCAAGTTCCGGCAGGGAGAGTGAACTCTAATGGGAAGCTCAAAACCACTAAGAGTCCTTAATATGCACATTATTTCATCTTGAAGAACCCCAGGTGGTCTAAATTATTCCCATTTTATGAATGAAGAAACTAAAATTACTTTGTCCCAAATCACAATAACATTAAGGACTAGCTGAGATTAAAATCCAGGTTATTCTGATTTCAAAAACCCACACTTGGGAATTTCCTGGTGGTCCAGTGGTTAGGACTCGGAGCTTTCACTGCTGGGGCCCGGGTTCCATCCCTGGTTGTGGAACTAAGATCCTACCAGCCGTGTGGCGTGGCCAAAAAAAAAAAAAAAAAA